AGTTATGCAAATGCTGAAATCATGAAAAACTGATCACGACAACAAACTATCTAAAATGGAAAATAGTTTTACAAATATCAAGAAGATAAATACGGACATAGAAAAGTCACTTGAATTTATATCCCTGAAATATGAGGATATGCAAAAGAAAATAATAACGCTTGAAAAACAGTGTAAAGATAACCATAAATATATTATGTCTCTGGAAGAAAAAGTTGAGGAACTCTATCGAAACAGCAGAAGAAATGGCATAGCGATACGTAATATTCCTGAAAAAGAAAATGAAAACAAAGATGATTTAACACAATTAGTGATGCACCTCTCGAAAACATTAAATATTAATTTGCAATCGTGTGATGTTAAGGATATGTTTCGTGGCCCCGAATGTCGTGGATTGTTGAATTAGCAAACATCTCACAAAAGCAGACAATACTTAGCTCTGTGAAATCCTTTAATAAGAACAACCCCAGTAAAAAACTTAATGTGTCACATTTTGGTATAAATACTAGTGCTGCTCCAGTGTACGTATCCGAATATCTAACCCCTAGTACGAAGAAAATATACTACTTGGCACGCCAGTATTCAAAAGAAAAAATGTACAAGTTTTGCTGGACTGCAAACGGAAAAGTTTTCATACGAAAATCAGACGGATCACCTGCGATATTAATTAGAAATGAAGCCCAATTTGAGGATCTAAAGTGTGAATGACTAGATAGATATTGCTTCTTTTTGCCTTAAAACTTCTTTTGATTTTTCATTACATTACTGCATGTTTATTTTAAGGTTTATTTCTTCGTTTTTCATAACGATAATTATAAGATTAGTTTTAAAATTTAGTTTCTCAACACAAACACTACACAAACTTACAAACCAACAAATAAAACATACTACACACAAATACTTACACTCACTCATCAGACTTGTGATTATTCCCACACTATTCACAATTAAACATTCCATTAAAACTTCATTATTCCTGATAATCATTCATCGTAATCAACATAATATGCATAATTGCGCTATGAGATCTTGCTTTAAATTATGTACGCTATTTCACGTCAAACGCTGTACTAAGCATTATAAAACGTATGCCCGTAAACTAGAACTTAAAAATACCTCAACTATTACATTTTTTGTTCATGTAATTAACTACACCCATTCAATACATTCTATTGTTCAAATAAACAGTACAATCTTATTCTCTTACAAACACAAATTATACGTCTCAAATATTTATAATAAAAATGGCAAATAATATTAACTCATACATCGACAATATAGACCAGTGCACTATAAGTGAAACCTATTACTGTACTCCGGAAGAGGCTAAAGATTACATTAAACAACGAAACAAATTCCTAAAGATACTAAATCAAAATATAAGATCGATAAATTGCAACTTTCTTAGTCTACAGACCTTACTTGACCGAATCTCATTTGATTGCGATGTGTTGGTTTTGACAGAGTGATGGTTGCCCTGCTCAAGTAAACAAAATATTCCTTATATACAGCACTACACTATGTACAAAACTTGTAAACATCAAAATCAAAGTGATGGGGTAATTATTTACATTAAATCATGTTTCTTGGTAAATATTGAAGAAATAAATTTTAACAATGCGGCGTTTGGACTAATCGCTACGATTGACTCGGATACAGTGCTTATTTGCATTTATCGATCACCATCAAATGACAACATAAATGAGTTTCTTTCGATACTCAACGCTACACTTACACTGCTTACCAAATGTAAGACAGTCATAATAACTGGAGATATAAATCTAGATATAAAATCTTCTTCTTTAGATATACGCAGCTATGAATATCTTAATTGTCTCGCATATCATAGCCTTCTTCCTGCTCACACCCTCCCAACCAGAGGAGAAAACTGCATTGATCACTTTATCTTGCGCACCAAATACATGGCTGTAGCTTTGGTTTTCGACACCACATCACTGACCATTATGCCTCTGTTTTGGGTATCAAGAATGAAAGACAAAATAATGTAATTTCCACTATTTCAAAAGTTGACTTTGTCAAACTTGATAAAATTTTCGAAAAACTTCACTTAACACCTATTTATTCCATGTTAGATCCCAATACCGCAACTGAAACTCTAAAACTTTTTTCGGATGCAATAACTGAAAACTCATCACTTAAAAAAATATCGTCCAGAAATAGAATACTTAAACCGTGGATGACACCAGGCTTATTAAGGTGTATAAGAAATAGAGATTCAATGCATAGAAAATTAAAAAAAAGTCTCCTAATAACTTAACGCTGTCTATCACTTATAAGCGGTATAGAAACTTCTGCACTAAAATTTGAATGAAAGCAAAAAGATATTATGATGCTCAAGAAATAAGGAAAGCAGGTAAAAACCCTAAAGCACTATGGGAGACTATCAAAAAAAATAACAAATACATACCACAATAAACAATCATCATGTCAGTTAGTTGCAAAAGCAATGTCTCTAAAGCAATCATGTAATAATGTTAACAAATTTTTTGTTGACGTTGGAAAGGAACTTGCGGACAATATAATCAAATCTAATAATTTACCTCAGTTTACTTCTTCACAATCTTTTACATGTATTTCTTCTTTTGTTCTTGAAAAACCTAGTACGGATGAAATAATTTCAATAATAAAAAGTTTAAAGACTAATGTTGCTACCGGTTGGGATGGCATATCTCCCGCCATACTAAAAAGATACTCTGCTACACTAGCACCTGTGCTAAGCCATATATTTAATCTCTGTTTTGAAAATGCTATTTTTCCAAATTCTTTAAAAAAGTCTTATAATACATCCTATCTTCAAGGGTGGCTTATCTAAAGTCCTAGAACGCCTAGTGAACAATAGACTAGTCCATTATCTTGAACATTTTAATTTCACCTCAACAATTCGGATTTCGTAAAAATAAATCAACTTCTGATGCAGTTCAAGAATTAATAAATTTTATAATCAGTAACCTAAATAATCATAAGAAGGTCCTAACAATATTTTTAGATCTAGCAAAAGCCTTTGACACAATTCCTGTTTCCACTCTTTTATCCAAGTTAGAAAAAATGGGTGTCAGAGGTTTACAGTTAGACTTTTTCAGAAGTTATCTTACAAATCGCACCCAAATGGTCAAAATATCTGACTGCGTCGGTGATGAACTTCCTGTATACTATGGTGTCCCCCAGGGAAGTATTCTTGGCCCGAATCTATTTCTTGTCTCCATCAATGACTTGTGCAATATTCACATTGATAACGCAAAAATCGTCTCTTTTGCAGACGACACAGCTATTACTTTATATGCAACATCTTGGAAAGATCTTGAAAGTAAATCCCAACGCAGTTTCAATCACATATATAATTGGCTTTTATCTCACACTCTTACTCTTAATACTTCCAAAACAAAATTTATAACTTTCTCTATCAGTCCCACCTCGCAATCAAATATTCCCATCAAGTAGAAAGCTCACTCTTGTACTCTTCAGTCTTCCTCTTGTCTGTGTCCTCACATAAATTCTGTAGATAATATAAAGTATCTCGGTATTATACTAGATAAACACCTTAATTTTAAAATACATATAAATCTCTTAACATGTAAGGTTCGCAAATTAATATATGTTTTTAAAACACTCCGATATGTCGCTAACTCCGTAATTATACTTAACGTTTATTAAGCTTTATGTCAGTCTATAATCACGTATTGCATTTCTTGCTGGGGTGGTATTGCAAGAACAATATTAAAACCACTTGAAGTTGCGCAAAGAGCTACCTTAAAGGTTGCTACTTTTAAACCAATGTTATTTCCAACTATTCAACTATATCAAAATTGCGCTGTTCTTAGTGTGAGGCAGCTCTTTATACTGCACATAGTATTACTTCAGCATATTAAGACTCCTTTCATTGAAATTACAAAACGTCGTAAAGACAAAGTATGCACACTTCCACTAGTCAATTTTTCATTTATAAAAAGATTTTTTTATTACTTAGGTCCTTTACTTTATAACAAAATGAATGCGAAAATAGAGATTTATGAAATGTCAACATTTAATTGTAAAACTGCTGTCCGCTCTTTCCTGCTAAATAAGTCATATGATGATACGGAACAATACTTATTAACATTGTTATAAAAAAATATATAACGTCGCATTGTGGTATATTTATTTTATATAATTTTCTACTTAATACATACACACGCACGAGCACACACACACACACAGATCAGTTTATTGTCTTTTTAAAATTTTATTTCTTTACATGCAAAAATTTAAACAATACAACTATGTATTCCTAATCAAACGGGGGGGGATAGGTCTGTATCTCCTAAATACAGGTTACTAAGTAACCTAGCTAGGAGACTCAGGATTCTACCCATTTTCAAATTAGTCCTCTTGATGTATTGCATATATTTGTAAAAAGTTTGTAAACTATAAAAAGTCAATGTCAATAATAAAAATATGCCACAGAAGTGCATACGTAACTTAATTGATAATTATTGCGTTTTGATTATTTTTTCGAATACAGTGAGTAAAAATATTCAAAAATCTATTGAATCGTAAACTATCTGATAATTACTTTCAATTTAAATATAGGTAACATATTAAATACAGAATATTTAATACATAACTTAAAAAAATAAAAGATATATAATAGCAAAAAGAATATAAAACAATCTCAAATTGATAAATAAAGTTTTAAATGGAATTAAAATCACACAGGTGCGAAGTTACCTCTTAATTTCTTCTTTGTTCTTTTTAACTCAATTTTAATATTCTTCTGGACGATGCTTGCAAAAGTACAACTGTTTCCTTCCTTTTAAAATTAATCTTCTGTTTCTTGAATTTTGCTTCTTGACTTGACTTCATAGTACTATTTCATATACATTATACTTTTTAATTTTTCAGTCACCTTCTGTAAAATAATACTAAATCTTTTTGTAACAAGATAGCAAAATATTATTAAATAACGCTGTGGAGGAACAAAAATACGTGTTTCGTTTGTGCAGAATGCAACGTGGGCTCGAGTAGCGTGTGGCACTGGTCGGAGGCGTGCGCGGTGGCGGGCGCGGGCGCGGCTAGCGTTGCGGCGTGGCGCGGAGAGGGCGTGCTCGCGGCCGCGCTGCTCTCGCACCTGCACCACCTGCCGCCGCCACCGCTGCGCGCCGTCGCCGCCAGCCACCGCGCCGGCGCCGCGCTGCTCGCGGGTACGTGTCGCATGTCCTGCACCGCGCCGCGCTGCTCTCGCACCTGCACCACCTGCCGCCGCCACCGCTGCGCGCCGTCGCCGCCAGCCACCGCGCCGGCGCCGCGCTGCTCGCGGGTACGTGTCGCATGTCCTGCACCGCGCCGCGCTGCTCTCGCACCTGCACCACCTGCCGCCGCCACCGCTGCGCGCCGTCGCCGCCAGCCACCGCGCCGGCGCCGCGCTGCTCGCGGGTACGTGTCGCATGTCCTGCACCGCGCCGCGCTGCTCTCGCACCTGCACCACCTGCCGCCGTCACCGCTGCGGGCCGTCGGCGCCAGCCACCGCGCCGGCGCCGCGCTGCTCGCGGGTACGTGTCCATTGTCCTGCACCACGCTGCTCGCGTTCATGTGTCCATTGTCCTGCGCCGTTCTGCACCGCGCTGCTCGCGGGTACGTGTGTATTATCCTGCACCGCGCTGCTCGCGGGTACCTGTCGTAACTGACTTGCACCGCGCCCCCTTCGCACTTATCATCGGTACGTATCACATTGGAATGCAATGAAAATTCACACGACAATATCCCTGCGCGTAATCAGCATTTGCATGAAAATAATTGATAATCGCCAACAGGTCATTGTTAAACATTGGCCCTAGGTCTGTTCATAAGTTTTTCGTTTGATAAGTAATCGTTAGAATCAACAACATACAGGCTGTCTCAAAAATAGTGTTAAGCAGAAATTCAAAGCACTCCTTGGGGTACCCGAATCACCCCCGTGTATGTTCCGCGATTTTTCAGTTTTCGAGTTATGATTTTTTTTGAATTATTGAGAATTTACGAAACAAAAAAATCTAAAAAAAAATAGAAGGCTTTTGCGAGATTTTTTTTGCAAGTGAATCGTCATACTTTTATGCTTAAATTAATCTACTTCGTAACTTTGATGAAAATTATGAAGATATTGGTGTAAAGTGAAAAATTTACGCTCGGTGAATTATTACTGAAATTTTCAACTTTAAATTAAAAATCTAAACAGGTAACTTGATGGTTCCTAAGTAGGTCTCAATAATTTTCCAGACCTCTGACTCTCATAATCATAAAAAGGTAGTACTTAATGAGCTACTTTAGCTAAAATAGGCCTTCAAAGACAGCGAGGTGAAAAATTCTTAAAATTAGCCATCTGATTACATTTTTTTTTTCGCCCGATAGCACCCGCAGTCAAAATGTGAACCTTTACCTTTATATAAAGGCACAATGACTGCGAATCACCAATCATCCGGGATATCCCCCGTCCGCCAGCACAAATTGCACAGCAGATGAAAGCTGTCCCAGACGCGAGGCCCACCATACTTGACCATTTCAGCAGTAACTCTGTCTAGTCCCGCAGCCTTACCACATTTCAAACTTCGAATCGCACGTTCAATCTCTTTCATACTGATGACCTCAGTGTCATCGAGGTCCGGGTCTGGCGCACCAGTCACGGCGTCATCCCCGGATCCCTCACTAAGATCATCACACGCATACATTTCTCTATAAAATTCACTCCATCGCTGCATGACGTCCGATTTTCCTGTTTAGTCACTTTGTTCATTCCTAAAACCGTCGCACCACTTCGGGTCCTTCCAACCTCTTTCCAGAAGAGTTTGGAGTTCTCCTTGAAATTGTGCGACAACCTTTCGTCCGCTTTCATTCTACACCTTTCACGCACTTCCTCAATCAATGCTTTCGTGTGAACTTTCTGCATCTTATATCTTTCTTTCATCTTCTCTCTCATATCCTTATCATTACTAGAGGCCAAGTAGTCTAACCATGCTTTCTTCTTCTTCTTTACAGCTTGTTTCACTTCATCATTCCACCATGCCTCTCTTCTTTTACTTCTCTGCTGCACTTACCATTCCATCCGTAAGGTTCTGCCATGTTCTTTCCACACATTCTTTTCTGCCATCGATGGTGTCAAGCTTTATCCTCGCATGATATTTATTCCTAGTATCCGTTTCCTGAAGCTTCCAGCTTCGGATGCGACAGACCGACTGTGGTTCTGTTACTGCCGTCCGGTAGCGCCAACACGCGAACAGACCCCTAAATCTAGTAATCACTAGATAGTGATCCGTTCCCAAGTCAGCACCCCTGAATACTCGCGTATACATCACCCGTTTTCGCAGTCGGTCATCCACCAGGAACAAATCGACCATACTTCTCTCACTCTTTCTTTCTCTAGTATACATATGGATTTTCTTGTGATTAAACATAGTGTTTGTCACAAGAAGACCCTTTTCCTTGCATACCGCCAGTATAAGCTTGCCAGCATCATTAACCCTTTTATTGCCAAACTTTCCAAGTACCGACTCGTACCCTGGTCGAGCGGTACCAACCCATCTATTCAAATCACCACATACAACAATTCTTTCGTTTCCCCTAGCCAAATCTAGAACTTCTCTTACATTCTCCCAAAACTCCTCCAGCTCAGCTCTGGACGACGAAGCTACCGGAGCATAAACAGCCAAAAGGAATAACTTCGTCAGTCCCAATTTAAAGCGAACCCAGAGAAGTCTTGAGTTGACAACCTTATATTCAGTCATAACATCGACCAACCGAGAAGACAGCAGCACCCCCACTCCCTGGCAGGCGTTCTCGCTCTCCGGGACTCCGGACCATAGAGCTAACGCCCCGCCAGGGAGCTCTTCAGTACCGCTGCCCTTCCGTTTGGTCTCCGACATACACACGACATCTAATTCTCTTTCTTTCATTATTTTGATCAATTCATTCGTCTTATCTCTCATGCCTCCTCTAACATTCCACGTGCCAACTCTGCACTCTGTCCTCCACCTTCCGCCGTGTCGGGCTGTGCGTGACGGGTGGCGGTCCCCATCGCCACTTTGCGCGCTGCATTCCACACCAACGGGGACGAGCTGGTGAGCGTCGCCTTGGGGGGACGCCTTAATCCTCGTTGGCATGGGTGCGCAGCTGTGTAGAATTGCAGCCCTGAAAAGGGCTGGCAGGGGTCGCGACGAAAACGCTTCTACAATGACCCTTGTTATTACCTATTAATTTAATAAATTCACATTTGTCGATTTGTCCCATCTCTAACATTTTTGCAACTTGGGGCAACCTTGTAAGGTGGTAGTAAATTATTGGGCTTATTTTTTGTGATAATGAATTAATACTAACTGGTTTAATTATAAAGCCGAATTTTTGTGTTATGCACGTTTTTAAGTGAATAACTGTCATGAAAAGTATTGTTCACTCTCCAGAAATTAATGATTTTTCGTTTTCCAATATTAATCAAATCACTCGTTACGTTGCACGATGCTACAAAGTTATGCCGTCACTTTTGATGACAGCTGCCATTCTAATCAAGCTATATTTAAAGAACTAAAGTTAACTAACCAAAAATGACTGCAAGAAAGCTAAGATTTAAGCATTTGGAGATTTTTTGTTTAAGTTTAATTTGTAAAAAAACAATCTCGAAAAAGCCTTCTCTGATTATTTATTTATTTTTTTTAGTTGTTCAGGTAGAAAATTCTAACAAATAAAATTGGGAACCCCTTGGGGTGCTCTATCTCTGGACTTCCGCTGACACTATTTTTTGGGACACCTGTATATGCAGCGCTGACATCTTTTTTATCAGTTTACTAAACAAGACAAAGAGGACACCGAGTGGATTGGGCCATCTGGGAACCCTTATAATAATTTCAGTGATTCCCTCAAGATACTCAAAATTTTAAAAGATTTTTGATTAAATACACAACAGACGACCACTCGGATACAACGTTTGTGTAAAATGGTTTATTGATCACCGCAAGTATAAATCAGTCGGGCGACCACCGCTAGCAGCAGCAGTGCTTTTGATCCTGCACTAATCTTTTTTTTTTTTTTTTTTTTTTTTTTTTTTATAGAATAGGGGGCAAACGAGCATGCGGCTCACCTGATGTTAAGTGACTACCGCCGCCCATGAACAACCGCAACACCAGGGGAATTGCAGATGCGTTGCCGGCCTTTTAGAAAGGTGTAAGCTCTTTTCTTGAAGGTTCCTAAGTCGTATCGGTTCGGAAAATTCGCTGGTGGTAATTGATTCCACAAAGAAGTTGTGCGAGGGAGAAAACTTCTTCTAAATCGCACAGTGGTGGACCGCCAATCATCCAGATGGTATGGATGGTAACGCGAGTTTTGTCGCGACGTGCGATGGTGAAATTGAGCGGCTGGAATTAGTCCGAACAATTCCTCAGAGCACTCCCCGTGATAGATGCGATAAAATACGCAAAGAGATGCAACATCTCTACGCAGTGCCAGTGTATCGAGCCGATCGGAAAGAACTCGGTCGTCGACGATTCGAATCGCTCTGCGCTGGATGCGGTCAAGTGGAAGGAGCTGGCACTGGGGTGCCCCGGCCCAGAGATGAGAACAGTATTCCATGTGGGGCCGAACTTGCGCTTTGTAAAGTTGCAAGCGATGTGCCGGCATGAAATACTGTCTCGCTCTGCTGAGCACGCCAAGCTTTTTAGAGGCCAATTTGGCCTTCCCTTCCAAGTGACCACGAAACTGCACGCTATTCGATATGTCGACGCCAAGGATTCCGATACTGGCTGAGGCAGCAAGGGGAGTGCCTTGAAACTGAGGAGATACAACAAAGGGGTTCTTTTTAGCGGTAAACGCGCAAACTTGTGTCTTCTGGGGATTGAACTGGACTAGATTTAGTCGGCCCCAATCCGAGACTTTGTTAAGCAAAGACTCGACTTCAGACACAAGTTTGTCCCGGTACTCGGCGACGTTTTCCCGAGAAATATTGGCACGGCCGGTATATAAGGCATCCCCAGTGCTGTCGTCTGCATAGCAATGAATGCTACCAGTTAGCAGCATATCATTGATATGCAGGAGAATCTGAGCGCCCCACGGATGATATCCGATTGGCCGCCAAGTATATTTATTATACATAATGGAAATGACAAATGAACTTACAGATCGCCTGATAGTAAGCAGGAAATCCAATCCACAGACACCTGCATCCAAAGAGACGACTGCGGATGCGTTGTCACCTCTGAGGATTAATATGGAATGCCCCATAGCCTGTAATTATACTGGCTCTCTATACCCTTCAGACCACGACTGTTTCTGCCACCAGAGCGGCACCACTTTACAGTGAGGTAAAATATTTGACAGATTTCATAGAGGGGACGATAATTTCTTAGGAAAATGTAATCTTTAAGACTTCTTTCTGTATTATTAGTTATATTTTATATTAATTACATTAGAAATGAATAAACCAAACTATAAATAATAACTAAAAGCTAGGCATATGCTAGGCAACGCAACAGGAGCGCATTGTCTCCAGAATTAGTCATATTTTCAGGGATCATACCCCCGCCCATTTGTATCAGATTAGTTTTTAACTCGAATGGGTCATAGCCTGATGGTGACTCGAACTCGAACCCAGGCCAGGCAATCCTCATGGTCATCAAACTAATTGTACCAGATTAGTTTTTAACTCGAATGGGTCATAGCCTGATGGTGATTCGAACTCGAACCCAGACCAGGCAATCCTCATGGTCATCAAACTAAAAAAAATTAAGCAAACATCTATTAAAAAATAAGATAACAGTCTATGTGACCTTATGGCTGAGTGAAACCAAATTTTTGCTGTCAATTTTGTTAATGTAAGTATTGATAAATTTGTTGACATATTTTTAGGTAAATGGGAAGAAGCTGAGCAAAGCATACGACAGTTGGCATCCTTTGATAGATGGGAAAGTCAATTACTAAAAGCAGAGATGTACTTCTTAAAAGGAGACGCTACTAATGCTTTAGAAACATTACAAGACATTTTGGACTTTTGTAAAACTGAGGACGACAGCCTTCATTTCGCGTCTCTGCGATTAAAAGCCATGATATTGATGTCACAAGTGCAACTCTCCTATGGCAGTAGTCAATCGACCAACATTCTACTATTGAACGAAGCACTGTCTTGGGCGAAAAAGTTTCATTTGCATTATTTAGCGGCTATCGTTGAAATGCATATTGCAAATGTACAGCTGCTTATGGGATGTGCGAAAAATGCTCTTGTACTTGTACGGAAAGTGTTACCTTTGATAATGGCACATGGAAGCGCTTATGACATGGCAAGAGGTACGTTTTTGACTTTAAAATTGTCTTTTTGATCTTATTTTTTCTACAATCTATGCGCCTTTTATTATGGATTTCTTGCTGTTCGATGACATTAGATTAACAAAAACGAATATATATTTCCATATTAATATTACTTTAAATATTTTAGGCAACACTTCGGCTGATCTATATATTTTGTCACTGTCCATTTTTTTTTATAGAATAAGGGTGACAAACGAGCACACAGTCCACCTGATGGTAAGTGGTTGCTGTGGCCCATAGACATCTACATCTATCCTCGATTACGAATCAAAATGCAAATGCGTTGTCACCCGTGAGGACTAAGATGGAATGCCTCGTTTCCAGTAAAAAAAGTTCTCCGGTTCTCTACACTCACCATACGAAACACAGCAGCATTAAGCCGCTATTTTACACTGGTATTCTGTGAGAGCGTGGTCCTTCCCTGGTCGAGCCGACCCATTCGTGCTACAACTATACCAGAAATATAGCTGCAGCATGGCTCTACCATGTAAAAATTACATTTATTTAGCTTTATATTTATCTTTGATAGAAACTCATTCTGCTATGTTTGAAGTGGTATTGTAAATCAAATACATATTGCCGCTGTTTTTCAACATCGGCACAAACTCAAGAAACCTAGAAAAAATATCCTGGATGCTTATGATCTATCTTAAGATGCAATTAACGAAAATTGCCGTAAGCTACTTTGATGGCATGATTTTTAATAGAGCTTAAGACTACCTGATAGTAAGTAGCTTTTGTAGGCCATGTCTACGTCAACTAACTTCTAACAAATACGCCTTCAAATGCAGTAGTAACTTGTGACCATTAAATAATGCCGTACAAATTGTAATTAAATCGGCTCTCCATACCCTTAAAACATATACATATATGCTGCTTTGTTTAAGAAATAGGTTAATACCCTCTAGGCATATTATTGCATTTCTTCCCGGAAAATATACTAATTGCTAAAGGTTCTCAACATTTCCATAATTGTGAATCTCAATTTAAAGTGATCGAAGATTGCCAATGTTTTATATTCACTGGTTAAGTTCTATACATTTTTCATTTCTAAATATTTTAGGACTACTTCTTTATACCAAATGCCGTATCGCCACTGCTCCTCTATCTGGCGAGACCCGGGTACAAGTATTTCAGTCATGTTGTGAAGCTCTAGAGTCAGTTAAAGAGAACTTTTCCAAAATTGGCGCTCAAGTCAGATTATTGCAGACATGGTATATACAGGTAGTTATATTCTAATTCTAGTATGTGTAATGAATTAATATGACGAAAAACCCTATGTTTAGGCCAAATAATTAACATTTGAAATTTGCATTCCACACGCGTGTCCTTCCGCTGACTTTGCAAAGGTCACCGTCGCCCCCTCTCCCGTGTGGGTCGCTCGGCATAGGGCGCGAACGCCGGACGTGAGTGCGAAGCCAGTAGCTTGACAGCAGCGGCTCTGTCGACTAGGGTATTTATTTGTGACCTCTGGATCGGTTTCGCGCGGCCAGTTTTGATAACGATTAACGGGGATTTAGTTGAGTTTGAAGTTAATTAAATGTACAATAAAGTTGATGGATTGAAATAGTGTACAATAAAGTTGATAAACTGAAATAGTGAAATGAAGGCAGAAATTTTTCATTGGTTATTTACGACTGGAGGAGCGCACATTGGGAGAACATCAGCTCCGATGGATCTTCTGTCCGATCGGGCCGTCAGGTCACATATATAAACACTACTACACACTACTTACATGCACCTCACTTACCACCTGACTGGCACCCTGTGGTCAACCCTACCTCCTGAAAAAGGTAAATGCTTGCTTATTTGTTAGCCGTTATTTGAACGTTTTTCCATAGGCCGCTGAGCCCCGTTCTCTGTTGCCCGTCGATTGGATTACTGATGGGCCCTAGTCCAGTCAACCTTTGTCGGGGCAACTCAGGGCGTGAACACCCTATCTAATTTCTATATAGTACTTTTCAATTTAACATCAGGGAGAATTAAGATAAGTAAAAATCTAAATCGTTTACATTTAAAACATCGACGGCTACATTGCTCCGTTGCTTAGCAGTTTCGGAGATTCCCTCCTATATGCTTCCCGAGAAATTGTGCAAGTGGGTCACTAGTTTTCATTCATATCGGCGAATTTAGGTCGTAGTAGACAGTTCTTCGACTCAGTCTATTAGTGCTGGTGTTCCACAAGGTTGCGTGCTACCACCAAAAACAGCGTATCTTATGCATTTTCAATGATATGTTGCAAACCAGTAACATTCATTGCTATGCGGATGACAGCACTGGTGATTTTTTTTATACTGGCCATGCCAATATTTCTTGGGAACACATCGTCGAGTACCGGAACAAACTTGTGTCTGAAGTCGAGTCTTTGTTCAACAAAGTATCTTATTGGGGACGACTAAATCTAGTCCAGTATAACCCTCAGAAGACACAGGTTTGCGCGTTTACCACAAAAAAGAACCCCTCTGTCTTACCCTTCAATTTCAGGGCACTCCCATTGCTGTCTCAGCCAGCATTGGACTCCTCGGCATTGACATATCGAATGATGTTCAGCTTCGCGGTCACTTGGAGAATGCCAAATTGGCCTCTAAAAAGCTTGGCGTGCTCAGCAGAGCGGGACAGTATTTCATGCCGGCACACAGGCGCAGGTTCGGACTCACATGGAATACTGTTCTCATGTTTGGGCCGCGGCGCCTCAGTGCCAGCTCCATCTACTTTACCGCATCCAGCGGAGAGCTGCTCGAATCGTCGACGAACGAGTTCCTTTCTGATTGACTCGATTCACTGATGCTGCGAAGAGATGTTGCATCTCTTTGTATTTTCTATCGCATCTAGCACGGTGTGTGTTCAGAGGAATTGTTCGATTAATTTTAGCCGCTAAATTCCAGCAACACACATCACGACAAAATTTACGATACCGTCCACACCATCTGGCTGATTGACGGTCAACTACTGTGCGATTTACTATTAGTTTTCTTCCTCGCACGACTTCTTTGCATCGAATCAATAATTTTTTGTATCGTGGAATCATTTACTACCGGCGATTTTTCCAGACCGATAAGACTTATGGACCTTCAAGAAACGAGCTTACTCTTTTCAGCAACGCACCTGCAATTCCCCTGATTTGCAGTTGTTTTTCAGACAATTTTCATCAGGTGAGCCGCATACTCGTTTGCCCCCACTTCCATAATAAAAATTGGGTTGTTGCGCTGAGGACCGCCAACTTGAATCTGGCGCAGAACAAGTATTTGTATGGTCTACAAATAATTGTTCCGGGTCTGGATGCATACATCTATCCGCGTAATTTATGTTACATGAACTGTCCCCATGACACAGGAGGAAATCCTAGTGTGAAGGTAACGTTTTTAAAAAAGAAAAAAGAATTGAACACTATTTGTTGTTTAACATCCCAGGTATAAAATTTATACTGCCAAATACTCAATTTTAAGATGGCGTTAAGTCTCGTGGTGTCAGTCACTTTGACTTAAAAGTGATAGCGACAGCACGAGACTAAACGGCATATTAAAATTGAGTAGCATTTGAGTATTTGGGCATTAAGTAATTTAACAAGGATCTCTATTATTTCAATATACTTTATTGTATCTGGGATGTTATGTCAGTCTTAAATATTTGTACACAATTTTTTGCAGGCTCAATTACACAATGATGTGGGTAACATAGCAGGAAGAAATCAATGTGCATGGATGTACAGACAACTTGAGACTCAAAATCCAGTGGACTTATCTAACATGCTACATATAATGTATTAAATTGTTTTCTTATTAGTCTACTTTTTTATTTAATTTTCTTATTAAAAAAATAGTTAATTTTAAAAAAAGGCACTGATTAACTAAAAATATAGTAATTTGAAATTTACTGAATGACATACTATTTTAATTTTGTGTTCATATCATTTCGGTATACTGTAGTTGCCATGTTGCAAAGGAGAATGGGATTTTTGGGCCTGAAGTTAACTAATTGATTTATATTTTAAAAAATTGTCCATATTTTTCTAAATTAAATTACAAAGCAGTAGCCCTTTTTACAATTTATAATTCGAAAAAAACAATAAAATAAGAAATAAGTTAGAAAATCGATTATAGTGTATTCTTTATGGCAGTAAATCGATTACCATAAAGAATACACTAGTGAAATTCTCGTTTCTGAACGTTATCTTCCAGTAGAAGACTTCATTTTGAAACTTGACAGTTCAAACTTCAAACTATTTACTTAACCGATTCGTTGCGGCACCAATTTTCGACAACTTTTAGCTGATACAAATATTTCATGACACGCCGGGCGTGTCAAGTGCACTGAACCGGTTAAAATAAGACAGATTTTCGATTCGATTTGAAACGAGCGCAATATTATCGATTCTCTATTAAATTGAGCATTTTAATATCTATTTTCGATAATTTTTCAGTGTAAAGTTAACATGGAGATAAAAAATAATTTCGTACAAAATAATAATAAAAAATACCAAATATCAATATTCCTACAAGTAACAGTTACAACAACAATTCAAGTAATCGATCTCAGATCGATATCCCCAATATTGTTATTTTAACTTTCGTTGATCGTTTCACCATTTTGTTTATTACTAACCACAGCTTTTTTAGTGATGTTATACTGACCCTGCTTTTATATCTTTCAATAATTATAGCCTGAAAATAGCCTGTTACAGTGTAATAACAGTGAAAAATCAACTGTCAGTATAGGTAATACATAATCTCACTTTTACTTAATCTATAATAACTCAGCTCCCAGATTGACAAATCTTGCCAGATTTTCAACTATAAATTGTTTACTCTTTCGAATGGTCCTACTCTCATCTTGTTAACAATTGGGCCCAAGAATGTATGGAGACGTCTCATTCTCCTTTAAAATAACAGCCTATACATGTCTCACTGCTGAGCATAGCTCTAATAATTTCTGAGGGGGTTTGGAGCAAGAAAGAGTTCGCCGCATTGCCCCAATACCTTTCACATGTCCTTAAAATATAACTTGTAAGGACACCTGCATTTCTTCAGCTATGTTTCCTTCACATACGTGCACATTAATTGGTCATTAAAATTGCAATGAACAATTTTATTGGTGCCGGTGGGAACCGAATTGTTCGCGTACATTAACAGATTCGTTGCGGCACTGATTTTCGACAACTTTTAGCTGTGGCGGCGAACAAATATTTTATGATACGCCTAGCGTGTCAAGCGCCAAAACAGCTATGTGTAAAAATAATTTTCTTTTTTATGATATTTTCACTTGTTTAGACCTGACCTAATTAAGTTTAGTTGACATCAAACATCAGTTACAAACGGAAGGATACAACTCTGTGTAAAAAGTATCGGGAATATGTCAATAAAAAGACCCGCGTAAAAGAGGTCGTTCTAATTTTTTTACTGCATGTTGGTAGCACTGTACCGATTTAGCGCGCAAAGTTTGAGCGGGATCTGTCATTTAATTTGTTTTAAACTACACTTTTTGTTGGTCATAGTTTTGAGTTCTCGACGATTTTTACAATGGAAAATATTGTTGAACAAAGAGTGTGCCTTAAATTTTGTGTTACGAATGATATTTCATGTGGTGAATCACTAAAAATGTTGCGAAATGCCTACAGCGAATCGTGTATATCGAAAACAAGGGCTTATGAATGATATAAGGCTTTTAAAGAAGGCCGAGAAGTAGTAGTACACTTGCCTCGTTCTGGTAGACCTTCAACCGGTACGACCAAAGAAAACACCGACAAAATCAAGAAGCTAGTGCTCGAAAATCGACGTATGAGTCTGAGAGAGTTGGCTAGTGAGGTGAACATATCTTTTAAGTCCGTCCACAACATTCTCATTGACATTTTAGACATGAAACGCGTCACCGCTCGACTAGTTCCAAAAGAGCTCAATTTTGTTCAAAGAGCGCAGCGAAAGCATGTCGCTGAAGACATGGTTTCCCGAGCTTCTACGGATACGACCTTTATGAAACGTATAATAACTGGCGACGAGACATGGGTTTATGAGTACGACATGCAAACAAGCCAACAGTCTTCAGAATGGCGTCTCGAAAACGAGCCGAAACCCGAAAAACCGCGGCAAAGTCGCTCCAAAATCAAGGTGATGCTGACAGTTTTTTTTGACTACCGTGGTGTGGTTCACTCCGAATTCCTTCCAAAGGGAGAAACAGTGAATAAAGAATATTATTTAGGCGTCATGAAGCGTTTGCGTGAGAGTATCTGCCGAAAACGTCCAGATTTGTGGCAACACAACTCATGGATGCTGCACCATGATAATGCACCATCACACAAAGCCATTATAGTGAAAGAGTTATTAGCGAAAAATTCAACAAAAGTTCTCGACCAAGCACCGTATTCACCTGATATGGCTCCGTCTGACTTTTTTTTATTTCCCAAGTTAAAATTACCACTTCGAGGAAAACGTTTTGAGTCGATAGAAGCCATAAAAAAAAATCGCTGAATGAGCTAAAGGCCATACCGCAAATAGCCTATGAAAAATGTATGGAAGACTGGGTGAAGCGTTGGAGATGTTGTATTGCAAGCGATGGGGCCTACTTTGAAGGCGATAAAATAAATTTAGATGAATAATTTGTATTTTTTGTTTTATTGAAAAATTCCCGATATTTAGTACACAGAATGTACTTGTTTTTCTACGTAATTTCTTTGAAATTGAGAGTGACTTTTTTATGCAGAGATTACAAACCTTTTGTACTATATTTTGTTTTATAAAAAATCATTTATATAAGTAGATACAGCTAAATCACCCTGGAAAACCTTGGTTTTTATTAAATTAATTTTTTACCTTATAATAACATTTGTAAATATAAAACATATCAAACAATCAAAATGATATTTACAAATGTTAAATATTATTTAATGTTATACAGATGTAAAAGTAAAGTCCATCTGAAAACGTCTAATTAGTAAGAATAGCAAAACCAAGTGTTTTCAAAAGGAAAAAAACGCCGGCACTATACGGTGGCGGATTGTTAAAAGACTATTTATTAGCGAACTTTTTATAATGTGGGGTAATGCAACTTGTAAACGTTACCGAAATATTTTCATTAAATAATGGTAAGTTTGGTAGTACGCGGTAGCATAAATAATCCATCATGTCATTTCGTCCCTTGTGTGTCGTAAGTAGACTATGTGAAATTGCAGGAAGGTCCCTTCGATAAGTGGCGGTATATACCACATAATATTATTTAACATGATTCGATTTATTAGTCGAACAGGTTTAAACTTTTTCTCACTAGTATCTATCGTAATGGTTCTACCGTAGATGGCGGTATAATCTAATTTTCGTCAGAGGCAAAATGTCTAGACTGGCGACGAGGAGGTATATTAAAAGCGCGAAACGTCTGGTACTATGCTCCTCAATCGATGGCGACTAAGGCAATTCCTCTCAACGGGAGAGACTTGCAGAATGATGACGACGATGATGATGAAGCGGGTTGTTCTTTTACAGTTAGATTTCATTTCAAATATTATTAAACCCATCACTTGCAGGAAAGAAAAAGGTTGATTAAAAATTCGACGATTTTTTATTTTTGTAACATTAATACAACTTATCATTTAATAGGGCTTTTTGTACGATTTCTGACATAGTCACTTTTATATCTCTGCATAGAACTTCCGCAACTAGGACTTTAGTGTCTTCTTGTACATCTGACTCAACATAAGCTACTTCACCCAAAATGTTTGAATCATTCCAGTAATGACCAAGAGACGCTTGTGATTCACATATTCTCCCAAGTTGTAATAATAAAGATGTAATATCCTCGAGAAGTGAAGGAAAAGCAGTGCAAATTCTTACAAGCGACTTAAGAACAGGTTGAAATAGTTCTAAACGTAAATCGCTGGGTAGTACTGACAAAAGAGTAGAAAGTGTGTTAACGCACAATCTTGCAATAGACATTGCTTTTGGTAATGCATACTGAATTGATAAATGAGATACTAAATCGACTGCAAATATTTGTTTCTCTAGTGATGCTTGGCTTAAAAGTTCAGGAATAAAATCTAAGCAAATATGCATTGAAGGAATTCCCTGAACAGTTACTGGTATTAGTTCTCTCGGATATCCTTGGAAATGAACGAGTTTAGCTAATGACGGCTCAGATATAAATATTTGATGCAGAAAAGAGCAAATTATACTTCTTACTTCGCGCAACGACCACATAAGCTCTGGTTTAGCTTGGTCTTCACTTGTTTCTAAACAGGCTTCCAATAATATCTGTAATGCTGCACTTTCTTGGGCAGCAACCAAAGCATTTTTTAATTCTTCCCTTTCTGAGTCTGATGTCAGTTGCCCACTCTTCTCAAGCAGAGGTTTATCTAACAAATGGCGACTTAATTGACTCCTAGAAGCAGCTAAACTGGCTTCCAATATTCTAAGTATTATTTTTAAAATTGGTCCACATCTAAAAACTCTGATGTCACACCTTAAAACTTGTAAAGGGTCTACTAAAATATTTTCTTGTGTAATGGTAACATTTCTACCATTGCCATTGATATCAAGTAGAGCATTAATGGTCATAATCCAGAGACAACGAGGTAGCACAGTGTTCAATCGTAGCCAAACTTCTCGATATAATTCTTGTATGTGTCTCGGAACTTGGTCACTGAGTACACTTTTGAAATATTTCACAAATATTTCAGCAAAAGGCCAAATATCTGTCGGGTTCTTGCTTAGCATTGCTTTTAAAATCTTTCCTGTTTTGTAAGGATTTTCTTCAATGCATAGAAATGCTTCATTTATCGAAGATT